TTTGTTTTGTTTTTTTCAGTAAGCTCTATGCCCAGTGTGGGGCTTGAACTCAGGACCCTGAGATCAAGAGTTGCAAGCTTTACAGACTGAGCCAGCCAGGTCCCCTGGATGTCTTTTATTAAATTTATACCTAGGACTTCTACATTTTTTGGCACTGCTGTAAATGGGATTGTCTATCTAATTTCACTGTCCAGTTATATGTTTCCAGTATATGAGTATTCAGTTGATTTTTAATATGTTATTAACCTTTTATCTTGCAATTTTGCTACATCACTTTGCAAAACCAGAATTTGGTAAATTTACTTAACTATATTTAGTGGATTCCTGGGAGTTTCTGTAAGTAGGGTGAGTTTCATTTTGTTCTTTTCCAATCTTTTAGCTATTATTTTGCTGTTTTTCTTACCTTATTTCAATGGCCAGAACCTCCAGAACAATGTTGAATAGGAGTGGTAAAAGCAGATTTTCCTGCCTTTTTCCTATCTCTGAGAGAATTTTTTTTTAGATTTTATTTATTTACTTGACAAAGAGAGAAAGTGCACAAGTAGGGGGAGCAGCACAGGGAGAGGGAGAAGCATGTTCTCTGCTAAGCAGAGTCTCCACTGTGGGGCTCTATCCCAGGACCTTGAGATCATGACCTGAGCCAAAGGCAGATGCTTAACCGACTAAGCCACCAAGGTGCCCTAAAGGGAGAAATTCAGTCTTAATCTATTAACTAAGGTTAGTAGCTGTAGGTTTTCATAGATGCCCTATGTCTGAGGAAGTTTTCTACTAATCCTGGTTATCTTGTGAGTTTTTATCATTATTGGGTTTGAGTTTTTGTCAACCCCCCCCCACATTTATTGAAATGATCTTATTGGGGTTTCTTGCTTTATTATTTTGATATGGTGAATTACATTAACTGATTATCAAATGGTAAGCAAATCTTGTATTTCTGGGATAAACCCTACTTGGTCATGTTTTACTATCCTTTTTGTATAGTATTAAGACCAAAGTTTTAGTATCGGGGCGCCTGGGTGGCTCAGTGGGTTGGGCCGCTGCCTTCGGCTCAGGTCGTGATCTCGGGGTCCTGGGATCAAGTCCCGCATCAGGCTCTCTGCTCAGCAGGAGGCCTGCTTCCTTCTCTCTCTCTCCCTGACTCCGTCTACTTGTGATCTCTGTCAAATGAATAAATAAAATCTTAAAAAAAAAAAGTTTTAGTATCTTCTGAAAGATTTTGGCATCTGTATTCCTTAGGATCTTGTCTTCTAATTTTTTTGGGGGTAATATCTGTCGGTTATTAACATTATTCTGGCCTCACAACACGAGTTGGGCACTGATCCTCTTTTGTTTGAAAAAGTTTGCATAGCTTTTGTATTATTTTTTTTCCTTGAATGTTTGGTAGAATTCACCAGTGAAACCATCTGAGAATGCAGTTTTCTTTTTTGGGAAGGGTTCTGTTAATAAAATCAGTTCCTTGGGGCGCTTGGGTGACTCATTGGGTTAAAGCCTCTGCCTTTGGCTCAGGTCATGATCCCAGGGTTCTGGGATCGAGCCCCGCATCGGGCTCTCTGCCGGGCAGGGAGCCTGCTTCCTCCTTTCTCTCTCTCTCTGCCTGCCTCTCTGCCTACTTGTGATCTCTGTCAAATAAATAAATAAAATCTTTAAAAAAATAAAAATAAAATAAAATCAGTTCCCTTAATAAGCATAGGAATACATGGATATTCTATTTCTCCTTGAATCAATTTTGGTAAGTTTTATTTTCCAAGAAGTTTGTTCATCCACATTGTCAAATTTGTTGGCATAAAGTTGTTTTTAGTATTTCTTACCATTTTTTATATGTTTAGGATTAATGGTAATTCTGATGAAATTTGTGTTCTCTCTCTTTTAATCAATCTCTTTAAAAAACCTTTTTTTAAGGTTTTATTTATTTTGGGGAACCTGGGTAGTTCAGATGGCTAAGCGTCTGCCTTCTGCTCAGGTCATAATCTCCAGATCCTGGGATTGAACCCCATGTGGGGCTCCCTGCTCAGCGGGGAGTCTGCTTCTCCCTGTCCCTCTGCCTCTCCACCTGCTTGTCTTCTCTCTGTCTCTTTCTCTCTCTCTCAAATGAATAAAGAAAACCCTGAAAAAATTAATTAATTAATTAATTAATTTATTTATTTATTTATGAGAGCGTGCGAGCACAAACATGTGGGGGGCAGAGGGAGAAGCAGACTCCCCACAGAGCAGGGAGCCCAAAGTGCAGCTCCATATCAGGACCCTGAAATCATGACCTGAGCTGAAGGCAGATGCTTACCCGACTGAGCCACCCAGGTGCCCAGGGCTTGTCATTTTTTTCCCCCAAGGAACCAGATTTTGGGTTTCCTTGTTTTTTTCCCCCCTCAGCTATTATCTTCCTCAGTATTTAGACCATTAAAATTTAATGTCATTATTGGTATGTTAGAATTAGACCTGCCATTTTTTTGTTTTGTTTGTCTTCTCTGTTTTTTATTTTTATTTTTCTAAGTAGTTGCTCCAGGGATTAAATATATTTACCTAACTTTGATAGTCTGCTTACAGGTTATATTATACTACTTCAAATACAATGCAGAAGGCTTGCACTATTTAAGTCCCTTTACTCTTATGGCACAGACCTTTATATTAAAGGTTGTCATAGGTATTACATTTATGTATATTGAAAGCCGCACTGGACAGTGTTAACAATATTTGATTTCAACAACCTACATATCTTAAGGAGAATTATAGGAAAAATATAACTTTATATTTTATATTTACACAGATATTTACCATTTCTGTTCTTCTTCCTTCATGCTTGATGGTCGGTTTCTCTCTTAAATTCCCGTTCTATTCTTTTTAAACTAGTGTTTTCTTCTCCACTGAGATCTTGTGTATTTTCAGTCCTTTCATTTGTGTTTACCTTGACCTCCTGGAACATATGGATGATAACTGCTCTAAAAAGTCTTTATGATAATTTCAGTGTTTGTATCATCTAGGATTTGGAACCTGTTGATGACAGGTGTTCCTTTCTTTGAGAATTGGTGAGGTTTTCCTAGTTCTTTGTATGTCGAGTAATTTTGGATTACATCCTGGATACTGGGAATTTCATATCTGGTTCTGTGTGCTGCGTTAATCCCCTGCACAATGCTGGTGTTTCTTTTAGCAGGTCTTCATCCTGATTAGGTTCAAACTAGAAGTTCTGTGTGCTCTCTGCACACAGAGGTTCCACTGTGAGATCAGTTTTCAAGACCTTTGCTGTGCTGCTTTTGTTTTGTCCCGCAGCTCAGGTGTGAGCCTGAGTCTTGTGGGAGTTCATTTATAGAATTACTTGATCCTTACTTACACTCTCCTGCCCATAGAGGCCATTTTCATTAGTCCCTTTGCCCAGAAAGACTGGATTTATTTTTGTTTTTGTTTTTAAGATTTTATTTATTTATTTGACAGAGACAGAGACCGTGAGAGAGGGAATACAAGCAGGGGGAGTGGGAGAGGGAGAAGCAGGCTTCCTGCTGAGCTCGGAGCCCAATAGGGGCTCGAAGGGCTCAGTACTGGACCCTGGGATGATGACCTGGACCGAAGGCAGACACTTAACGACTGAGCCACCCAGGCTCCCCAACACTGGATTTCTGTCAGAGTTTTACTCTTTGTTCCTCTGCCTCACTCCATGTCTGGACCCACCCTTGGGCCAGGGCTGCTAGTGAAAAGTGAACAAAAGTGAGGGGCGCTTTTGACTCTCTTCTAAAATCTGTCTACTTTTCTTTCTTACAGTCCTCAGGGAATTGCTTTTTAAAGTTTTTGCCCAGTTTTTACTTTTGAGTGGGACAGAGGGCCTGTAGTGGCCATATACTATTTTAGCCAAACTAGAACTCTGGCTTTTTTACATTTAGAAATCTTGCATATGTGGTATTTTCTTTCTTTTTTTTTGTTTTACAAATTCTTTTATTTTTTCAAATTATAGTAATAACATATAACCAGTATATTCAAAGTAGGAACAAAATACCTTGAACCAAGATGTTATCACTATGATTTGTCTGTGTAGCGTAGAACTGAAAAGAAGGTGGGATTGCAAGGTTTGGCCCATTTGCTTCGTCTGTGTATTACTACTTTTGTCTGGGGTTCCCTAGGAACTGAGCAGAACCTATTTGTGAATGGCATTTGAAGCCCTTGTGGTGAAAAGAAGTGTGTGGGGGACTATTCCAATATTCTTATCCTTCAAACAGCATTTAGGCTTTTGTGTTAATAAGTCTGGAAGGTACCTCATCTTCATACCTCCATGGCTTAGTTTCTATGAGGTCCATTCCTTACCAATATCCAGCTGAGACCAGTGACAATTAAGGAACAGGGGAGGAAAGAGAGAGAAGGGCGTTAGTTCACAAGTGTGGGTTGTAGGCTGGGTTACAGTGCACCCCCCGGTCACTAATGGATGTCAGGTGAAGGGGAAGCAGAGAGGGAGGTTTGAAGGGTCAGAAGACAAATTTTGTCTAACATTGCTCGTAATAGGTGAACGCTTTTGCGGAAGAGGTTCACAGAGGGTGGGGAATTATTTCCTGAATTCTAGGAAGGACGGTGAACCGCAAATACTCTTAAATGCTTTGCAAGGAGCTGCTGATGATTAGTGTGCTTTGGACCGTAGGAGTTGTTCTGCTTTGCCAGACTGTGTGCTTCTCTCAGAATAGCTGTAAAACATTTTTTAAAGTGAGGTATATAATTACTATATCTACAGAAAAGTGACCATAGTCTATGCTTTCCTAGTTACAGTTTAGTATTGATGATGCTAATTTCTTAACCCGAATTGAGGAATATTTGATCTTTCTCTGTGCAATGGTTTTAGTAAAAGGAATTATTTGTTCCTTGAAGGTTAGTTCAAAAACACCCTTAAAATTATTTTTTCTTGGGGCCTTTTAACTGTTAAATCTTTACATTTATATGTATTTCTTGATCTGTTAAATGTATTATACCTTTTTAAGAGATCATTGGGGAAATTCATAGTACGATAGAAATACATCTATTTTCTCACGATTCTAAGCTTTGTGCAGTGGCAGTATTGTAGCCAATAAGATTTATCTGAGGCGTGATTATTGCTATTTTCTCTCGAATCTCTGTTGTGTAGAATTATGCAGAACACTTCCCTAAGCAAAAATTCTGAAGAAAATATGAGCAAATTAGATGTGGTTATGTAGTAAAAGAATAACAGGTGTATCTGAGTTGGGTTTATTACATAAATTCTAGGATAATTTGTATTAGGAACTATGTCACTATAGTCTGCTACTTGAAAACGAAATATACGATCATCTTACTAAATACTCAAAAAAAGCCTCTGAACAAATTTAGCAGCCATTTCTAATGAAAATTTCAAGTTAAATAAGAATAATAGGAAACTGCCTAAATGTCTTAAAAGGTATTTACCAAAACACAACAGCAAACATAACTATTCAGAACCTATTTTATTGGTTATGAAATGCCAAAACCATCAGCATGACAGGGAAAATATAAAAGTTCCTGCTGTTCCAGCTATTAAATAGCTTAGCTTTATTGGTTTGGGCACATAATGTAAGCTTAAATTCTTCATTCCCAGAGAATGTAGATCTAGAAAACCGGAAAGACTCATCTGAGAGACTTAGCCCCAATAAGAAAATGTAGTAAAGTGGCTGGGTACCAAGAAGATCGATAAATCAATTTCTTTTCTTTATTTAGCAGTAAATAGTATAGAAGGAAAGTAGAACAGAACAGAATGTTTTCTTATGTTTTATTTACCTTACTATGGTTTGTTTGTTTTTTTTCTTTAAGATTTTATTTATTTATTTGACAGAGAGAGATCACAAGTAGGCAGAGAGGCAGGCAGAGAGAGAGAGAGGGAAGCAGGCTCCCTGCTGAGCAGAGAGCCCCATGCAGGGCTTGATCCCAGGACCCTGGGATAATGACCTGAGCTGAAGGCAGAGGCTTAACCCACTGAGCCACCCAGGTGCCCCTTCCCTTACTATGGTTTTAAAAATGAGAGCTTACTGCTTTTGTAAATTCAGCAAAAAACAGGTGTGATGTGTCGTTTAAAGAGCATTATAAAGATTAAGTGAGATGAAACACATTAAAATTTTCTGGAAAATTATTGGGGCACTTTGGTGGCACAGTCAGTTGAGCATGTGACTCGATTTTGGCTCAGGTCATGATCTCAGGGTCCTGGGATGGAGCCCCGCATTGGACTCTCTGCTCAGCAGGGAGCCTGCTTTCCCCCCTCTCTCTCTGCCTGCCTTTCTGCCTACTTGTGATCTCTCTCTGTCAAATAAATAAATAAAATCTTAAAAAAAAAAAAAAATCTCTATCCAGATCTTTGGGAACGTCTTCACCTGCATCCCCAGCAGAGAGGTGACTTCTTAAGTCCTGTTTTTCGTAGACACATAGAGGCTGCTGACCAGAAAGGTGAAGCTTGGGGCTGAAGATAAAGGGCATACGTGCTAGCATACGAATGGAAGTGTAGGCCACTTCATGTCTTCCTTTCTTTTCTGCGCCCCCCCCCCCGCAACCCTGGCCAAAGCCAGCACCCTCCCTCTACTCTTCTGTCTGGCAAACTGAACTGCTCCAGCGAAGAGACCTGTGCATACTGCCGTTTGGAGGTGTCCCAGTGAAATGTGACTGGGCACATCTGACCATTGCCCCATCTGTCAACAGACCTGGCACCCAGGCCTGCTTTTTTAGTGCCTTACTCTTAAATATGAAGGAGCAGCCAGGGATCACCAGAGAGAGGAGGAAAGCCTCAAAAGTGAGAGAGAGACCCAAAACAAACAATCAGCCAACAAACAAAAAAAGGAGACTAGTGTAAGAACCAAGACAATGAAAGAGCAACATACTCCCTTCCCGCCCTCTTCCCAGGTTAATAAAAAACTCAGGAGAGTAAAAGATGTGTCATTAAAAGAAAGGATGCAGTAGTAGGACAGAAGAGAACAAGGAAGAGCTCTTGGAAGTTTAAAAATAAAATAGTTGGGGGAAAAAAATCCACGGACAGGTTGGAATGTAAAATTGAAGAGTATTAGGGTAGGGGACTGTCATTTTAAAAAATCTAAATGTGTCTAAATTGTTTTGTGTATGAATATTTAGTACTCATTTTTAACTGTAGGCATCTGCCATGTTGTTAAGCATAAGGATGGTACTCATTGTGGATTATTTTTGTTGGGGAAGATGCTGGGGTTGGTTTCACATCAGCTCTTCTTGAACAAATAATGCCTGGTGGGGATTTTGGAGCCTTGGGCTTGTGTCTGGTATTCTGGACAGGCATTAGTGCAGTAGACATTGTTTACAGCCTTTCGCAAAATTGGCAGTGTTTCTTGGGGGTAGAATGCAGGCTCTGGGGTTTGCTGGCCCTGCTCAAATCCAGCTCTGTGGCCAAATGTGTGGTATTGCTCGAATCACTCACCTCTCTGATTCTCATTTTCTTGCTCTGTAATAAGGGCATGGAAATAACCCGTGCGTCTCACCTGTGTCATAGGGCTGTGACGATGAAGGGATAAGAGCTATAAAGCACCTACGAGTGTGCAGCGTGTACTACGTGCTCATTTAAAGAAGCCAGTGTTGAGACCACCAAGCAGATGGGTGGGTTGGGTAGATGGAGAGAAAGAGCGTGTATTTAAAGAGTAACAACCCACCGGTAGTGATGAAACAGGCTGTCCTGAGCCTCATGTTTGAGGAGAGTCTCGCATCCGCCTTCCCCAGGGCCCCTCCTTGGACCTGGCGCTAAGAAGCTGCAAAGAGTGAATGAATGAACCCCTTGGTCGTGACTCTGATGTGCAGTGCTGTCCCCCAGCGCTGGCACTGCTGCCAGTTCCAATCATTAAAGCCAGTGTGTTACTGTGTTTATAAGTATATAGGAAATGAAGTTTTCAGAAACTTAAATGTTGTATTTCATTTACAGGCGTCGATTAGCAAGGTAAAAGTGACAGAACCATGGCTCAGTTTCCAACACCTTTTGGAGGTAAGTTTTCAAACATTTCTCTCTTTTAATGTATTCAAGACCTTTTTCTTTTTTCTTCCCTTTTTTTTTTTAAAGGAGGCTCCATGCCCATTGACCCTGAGATCAAGAGTCACATGCTCTATCGGCTAAGCTAGCCAGGCGCCCTGAGACCCTATTTTTTGTTTTTTTAAGATTTTATTTATTTAGGGGCACCCAGGTGGCTCAGTGGCTTAAAGCCTCTGCCTTTGGCTCAGGTCATGATCACAGGGTCCTGGGATCAAGCCCCACGTCGGGCTCTCTGCTCGGCGGGGAGCCTGCTTTCCTTCCTCTCTCTCTGCCTGCTTCTCTGCCTACTTGTGATCTCTGTCTGTCAGATAAATAAAATATTTTTTAAAAATTGTATTTATTTATTTGAGAGAGGGATAGCGAGAGAGAGCAGAGCAGGAGGGAGGGGCAGAGAGAAGCAGACTCCCCACAGAGCAGGACTCAGGACTCTGTCCTGGCACCCCAGGGTCACCACCTGAGCCCAAGGCAGATGCTTAACCCACTGAGCCAGCCAGGTGCCCCTCTGAACCCTATTTTTAATATTGTTTCTTTTGGATACCTCGGAAGCAACTCCCGGGCATCATCTCATATCACCCACAAATATTTTAGTGTGTGTTTCTGAATGATGTGAATGCTTTCAAAAACATAACTATGATACCATTGTCATACCAATAAAATTCATGATAATTCGTTAATATCCTCATCTATCAAGGCAGTGTTAGAATTTCCCTGACAGTCTTCAGACTTTTTTTTGTTATGGTTTGTTGGTTCCCATCAGGGTCCAGACATTGCTCTCAGTTCATGTGCCCCCTCTGCCTTTCACTGTTTTCTCTTCACAATTGTATTCGTCGAAGTGACTGGATCATTTATTCTGTACTTTTCCCAAAACCCGAACTGGAAGCAGGACATTTTTGTTTGTTTTACTTTATCTGCTTAAAACATATGAATCTGCATAAAGTAGAGGTTTTTTTTTTTTTTTAAAGGTTATATTCCCTATATTATGATGAAAGTGTTAAATATTAGTTTTGCTTACTGGCCCAGTTTTTATTTTGTTTTGTTTTGTTTAAAGAGAGGTTGCCGTTATTATGGCTTCCTTTTGGCAACTGTCTGACCAGTCATAAGGAGAGTGAGGCACGAATCACCACCCCTCTGATCATATCTGTTGCGGTCCCTGCGGATTTCCAGTACAGAACCCTCTAAACTCTTTTTTTTTGTCCCTCTTCTTAGTTACGGGGCAGGTTTGTGTTTTGTTGTGTTTTTGCTTTTGCTTCAGTTTCAGTTTATCGTTCCAGGGACGATTTCAACAAGGCAGGAGGAGTTGCGGGATTACAAGGCCTCTGAGTGAAGGGATCATATTTGTTTCAGTCACTACAGTGTCTCTGATGCCTGACACAGTGCCTGGCACATAGGAAGTGGCCAGTAATTATGTTTCCAGTGACTGACTGGATCCCACCCTTCCTGTCACTGTTCGACCAGACAACATAGAGAGGGGAGGTGTGACGTTAAGACATTTTGCTTTTGTGCCAGTCACATTCATATTTTGTATGAACATACATATTGCCTGTTCTCACCTTTTGGGAGCATCTGAACTTTTGATGGTCTTCCATCTATGTAAGCTAAAATTATTTTGAAGACACTGAGGAGACCTAGGACGAAAGCAAGGAGGATCTCAGAAGTGAAGGGGCATCTGGTCAGTCTTAGAGCTGAAACTGAAGGAGAACCCAAATCCCGTTCTCTTCAGTTTGCCTTTGTGTTTTTCCAGGATACCTATTTTCAAACGCGTCTTTATTGAAGTATAGTTTACATAGCATGAAATTCACCCATTTTAACTGTACAATGCAGTGACTTTTCGTAACTTTACAGAGTTGTGTAATCATCACTACAATCCAGTATTTCAATATTTTTGTCACTCCAAAAAGGTTTTCATGGAATCATTTGCGATATGAATTATGAAACTTTGCTTTGTGTGTAATGTTTTTGTGACATTTAAAACACCTGAAAATATAGTTTTAAATTGGTTTGTTGCTTGAGTTCATGTAAATAAAGGACTGTTAACTATGTCTTATACAGTCCTGCTAGCTATAAGATTATAGGACAAGATTAAAAAAAAAAAAAAAGAATTTGTCCCAGTATCTTTCTTATTTTGGCCTGTTTTAATTTTCTAACTTGTATGCATAACTTCCAAGGGTAAAGAGATGTTAATTAACGAGATTATTATTACTATTTTTAAAGATTTTATTTATTTATTTGACAGAGATCACATGTAGGCAGAGAGGCAGGCAGAGAGAGAGAGGAAGGGAAGCAGACTCCCTGCTGAGCAGAGAGCAGAGAGCCCAATGTGGGGCTCGATCCCAGGACCCTGGGATCATGACCTGAGCCGAAAGCAGAGGGTTTAACCCACTGAGCCACCCAGGCACCCCAATTAACGAGATTATTGATAACATAATGGGAAAGAATCTGGAAGTACGAGGGAAATAGTTCATGTGAGCACTTTGGTATTCTTTTTGCATTGAATAATTTGTCTCTTCTTTGGGTTCCAGGCAGCCTGGATATTTGGGCCATAACTGTAGAGGAAAGAGCAAAGCATGATCAGCAGTTCCATAGTTTAAAGCCGGTATCTGGATTTATTACTGGTAATTGGAATCCATGTTTTTACATTTTTATTTATCATTAGTGCTTCTATCTGTGGAAAATCTATTATGCAAAGCTAAGGTGGGCACACATGACCCAGGGGACATCTGCCTTTGTCTTGGGCCTGTATTTTTTCAGTTGCTTTTTCTCTGCTGCATTCAAACCTGTTTGCACCCCTTTATGGATGTCAAGCCACTTGTTTTGGGCGTATCACTGATGGGAATTGGTAAAGGTCAGTGAACCACATTCTCTTAAATAGTAAAGCAGTGTAAAATGCTTGTTTAATTTTGGTCTTGAACTGGTTTGGGAAATGTAAATAAATGAACAGATTCTGAATATTTAAAAACAACAACAACAACAGAATTCTCTTAGTGCTGTATCCCTAAAGTTCCTTTTGTACTTTGCTCTTCCTTCCTTCCTTCCTTTCTTTTTTTTTTCCCTAAATATTTACTTATTTCTTTATTCACGTGCTCATGAGGGAGGGAGGGGGGAGGAGGAGAGAGTGGGACAAGCAGACTCTGTGGGGAGCATGGAGCCTGACGTCGGGGCTGATCCCAGGACCCTGAGATCATTAACCCAGCTGAAACCAAGAGTCGGTTGCTGAACTGAGCCCCCCAGGTGCCCCTGCGTTTCCTCTTATCTTTTCTGTTTGGTTATTCTTTCAGAGATAGCTTTAGGAAAAATGGGATCTAGATTTCCTGGGGACTTTGTGTGTGTGTGTGTGTGTGTGTGTGTGTGTGTGTCACAGTTCTCTTTAAACTATTAATTCTTAATTGTTGATGTGACTCTTATAATCATTTTTACTTTTTTCCCATAAATGTACCAGAAGCACCAACCGTTTGACATGTAGATAATAGGAGTCACAGGGAACTTAAAAAAGGAGAAGAGTGGGGTCATGGGTTCCTTGAGGATTCCTGTAGATGGGCTTTGTTGTATGTGTAGCTGTTCCATCTTACTTAATAGCCAATTAAAGTGGACAGTCTATGCCTACACTTATTAGGCCCTTTTTTTGAGATGAATTTTTAAAGTTTTAAGTTCTAAAGCCAGTGAACTCGTCAATCAGATGGATTCATTCTGCTCTTGCTTATAGACTTACCATTTGGCTTTTAGCATATATTTAAGTCAGTATTTGCAGAATTACTAGCCTCCTATTCTTGCAATTTTCCTGTAAGAAGATATCTGTCAGCTGTTTTTTCTGAAACTTTTTCTATTTAATTTACAGGTGATCAAGCTAGAAACTTTTTTTTTCAGTCTGGGTTACCTCAACCTGTTTTAGCACAGATATGGTAAGTTGGAACGTCACAGAAGCAGAAGGAGGTAAAATAAAATATTCCAGTAATATGGCTTCTTTAGATCTCGAAGGAAACATAAATCTCTAGTCTGACATACTCTACGACTTCTTACCGGAGAATACTTCTGAAAAGTATCTTTTCCTATGGAACATTAAAAGAATAAAAGGAAAAGTGATGACATTTGTAGGATAGTGCTGTCAAAAAACTGAATTTCCAGTGGAGAAATTTATATTTTGATATTTTCTCATGAATTTATTCTAGCTTTATCCCCATTGTCCATACTCATCTGAATGTCCCACATTTCTTGCTCTATAGTGCAATGGTTCTCTATTTTTTATGACCACAAGGTAAGGAAAATATTTGAGGGCCAGTAGTGAAACAGCCTTAACTTATATTTATGACAGTGTTGTACAAGGTCAGTGCATAATAAATACTGTTGAATTCCTTGATTAACTATCACCAATTAGCATTCAGTCCTTTGAACGTACAGAACAGAAAGGGACAATAAAAAAGAGAGGCAAATATTTTGGATTTTAGGGTTGTGACTTTGGTCATACCATGCTGAGGTCTGTTGCAAGAAGTCCCGTTTTCCTCGCACCGTGCAGTCCTCGCAGTTCATACTTCCAGGCTTTATTGGTGTTGTGGGGGTGGCTCGCTGTGTGGTAGAGAGACTTTTGTAGTCACTCACCTGTGTTTGAATCCCAGCTGCACAACATTCGGTCTTCATCATTTGAGCATGTATTCATCCTCTCTGACCTCTGTTTTTTAATCTAGAAAATGGGCAGATACATTTTCCTAACAAGATTGTTGAAAAAATCAGTATATAAAGGACTGTATAAAAAACTGTAGATAAGGGGCATAGTGTGGGGCCCAGCATGTAGACCCTCAAAACAAAACAAAATGGTACCTCTGTCATCAGCAGGGACTGGGGAGTCCCCATAACTAAATTGTCCAATTTATTATATTTATTTATATAATAAATATATATAACATATATAATATATAACATATATAATATATAATTATTATATAATTAAGTTATAATTACCTGTCCCCTGAAATGATCCACCTTTCATTTTTTTTTTTAAGATTTTATTTATTCATTTGACAGAGAGATAGATCACAGGTAGGCAGAGAGGCAGGGAGAGAGAGGGGGAAGCAGGCTCCCCACTGAGCAGAGAGCTTGATGCGGGGCTCCATCCCAGGACCCTGAAATCATGACCTGAGCCAAAGGCAGAGGCTTAACCCACTGAGTCACCCGGGCGCCCCATGATCGACCTTTCTTAACAGTATAATGGAAATTAATAAAGATTGACTAGTCCCTTGTGGCCTTCAAGCAGAGTCTGCAGAATGTGGTCCAAGCTTGATTACCAGTGTCATCAGTATGAAAATCATTTACTGTGTTCTGAATAGCAAAATTCTCATGGGAAATATAGATATATTTGTATACAGATAAATTTGAATCAAAACTAAATGATACCAGACTCCTGTGCTTTTTTGGGTGTCTGCTTTATGTTCCTTTTCCTGGTTGTCAGCATATTGGCTGCCAGACCGACTCTTCCAGTTAGCTGCTTCCGTGATGCCCTTCTAGCTCTTACTTCTGATCCACTTTGAGCTGGGAAAGGCACATAACCCAGGTTTTTGGAATTGCTTTTAAAATAAAGGGGGGGGCGCCTGAGTGGCTCAGTGGGTTAAAGCCTCTGCCTTCGGCTCAGGTCATGATCCCAGGGTCCTGGGATCGAGCCCCACATCGGGCTCTCTGCTCAGCGGGGAGCCTGCTTTCTCCTCTCTCTCTGCCTGCCTCTCTGCCTACTTGTGATCTCTGTCTGTCAAATAAATAAATAAAATCTAAAAAATAAATAAATAAATAAATAAAGGGGTGGGATGGTTGAGGGGCAGGGGAGCGAGAACTCATGCTCATGTGAGCACGGGTGCACTGACCTGGCAGTTAAGTGCCCGAGTTAAATTCGAGAGACACGTGACATCTGTGTTCACTGTAAGAAGCTTTCTTTTGCTTTGCGTTCTGGTATATGATTGTATTTCCCACCAGCAGTCAAGGTCACTCACTAGCACCTTCCTTTCGCAGGCATTACGTCTTCCCTTGAATTCTGCTTTTATGTCATATTCCCAATTTATGAATATTCATTCGAGAAGCAGTTTTATGATGCATATCTGCTTCTGGAAGATCTCACTTAACGTTTATTCACTCAGCAGTGGAAAAATACTTATTGAATGTCTTCTGTGGGGCAGTGACTATTGTAGGTGCTGGGGATGCAGCAGTGAACAGAATAGACAAAATCCGTGCTTTCATAGAAATTACAGTCTGGTGAAAGGGTATAGTTAAGAACAGTATAAAAATTGTCACATGATAATAAGTGTAATGGAAAAATAAAGTATCATCTAGTACATTTCACATTTTTTTTTCCTCTAAAAATTTTTTTTTTGAGATTTTATTCATTTATTTGACAGATCACAAGTAGGCAGAGAAGCGCTCAGAGAGAGGAGGAAGCAGGCTCCCTGCCGAGCAGAGAGCCCGATGTGGGGCTCGATCCCAGGACCCTGAGATCATGACCTGAGCCGAAGGCAGAGGCTTTAACCCACTGAGCCACCCAGGTTCCCCAGAGTTAGGCTTTTTTTTGTTTGTTTTTTTAAAGATTTTATTTATTTATTTGACAGAGAGAGATCACAAGTAGGCAGAGAAGCAGGCAGAGAGAGAGAGGGAAGCAGGCACCCTGCTGAGCAGAGAGCCTGATGTGGGGCTCAATCCCAGGACCCTGAGATCATGACCTGAGCCGAAGGCAGAGGCTTAACCCACTGAGCCACCCAGGTGCCCCAGAGTTAGGCTTTTAAATGTATAAATAATAACAGCTGATCCAGTGAAATAGTTTTCACTCCCTGTCTCTGTGCTCATCTTGTGTTCTCTTACGGTTTTTCTGGTGGGGTCCCAGGGAAGGCCATTGACCCTTTTGGTAGAAGGAGAGTTGGGTTGGAGTCTGAAGGTTTGGGCAGTCTCTTTGTCAGTCATGTGGGGAAGAAGAAAGTACTGGATTGAGAGTTAGGGACTGTAATCGTCTCTATCTCTCTGGGCATTATTTTCCTAGGTGGGAATCCATGAGTGATAACATGTGTTTCACACCTGGACAGTTTTTGTTCCAGGTAGATGCTGTATTGCAGGTAGCTAGTTTGGGACATTGATCTGTCTCTTCCTTTTTTTAAGTGGGCTCCTAAGTCATGACCCTGAGATCAAGACCCGAGTAGAGATCAGGTGTTGGAAGCTTAACCAGGCTACGCGACCCAGGCTCCCTTAGTTTGAGAACTTTTAAACTGTAACCTACTGATTCTTCGGGACTGCTTATCTTTCCAGTCTGTTTTCTAGTTAATAACACAGGAAAACCTGAATTTCCAGAGGATGGAGTCAAGTCAGTGGGTGTAATGCCAAAGCGTAACAGTGACCAAAGATGGTATAACTTCTTAGAAATTGTCTTACTAATAAGGAACTGAAAGGAAACTGGCAAATATCCTGTATCCTTTTGGCAACTTCGGATACTTAACGTTGTTCCAACCTTGGCCTAATGTGCAGAGGGAAGAGAAGAAAGCGGAGGGGGGTGGACAGGAGCCTTGGTGGGTCCAGGAAATAAAAAGAGGCTGAATGAAGAAGGCTTTGGCATCAGAGGCAGTGGGGGCCACAGAAATGGAGATTAGAGGCTTCTAAGGAGAGAAATGAGGGGAAGGGAGGCCCACTGGGGCATGGGCCCTGAGACAGAAGGCAGGATCCAGAGACATAAAGGCAAATACGAGAATAGCTTGGTGATCTATTCAAGGGTGGGGCATGGGTGAGGGCCACCAGCTGTACAACATCTAGTTTCTTAGGACACTTCTGTGCATATGGCAGAAGAACCTTCAGCCCTCAACGAGATCAATTTGCCAAATTCATCCCCCTCCCCAAAAAGGCATCCTGGACTCTTGTTCCCCACACCTCCATCCCTCATCCCCTCCATCCTCAGTGCATGGCATTAGGCATCTGTCCAGCTGCTGGGAGCCACGCTTGGTTCCTCTCTTTTCCTCACCGTATGCCTTCAGCCCATCAACACATCTTTTGGTTCCATTTACAGACTTTCTCCCCATTCTGGCCATTTCTTTCTGTCTACAATCCTACTGTCCACTGGAGTCTTTCTCACACTTCCCCCTTTAGATTTCTTTCTCTGTACAGTGCCCAGACTCTCTTTGGAAAAAGTAAATCCATTATAAGCTCCCCGTTGAGAAGAAAACCCAAAGTCCTATCTAGGTTCCAAGTCCCAACCCGAGCTGACCCTCTTCTATTTTCCTCTTCTCTTATTTTGTACCTCTCTCTTCCTCAATTTCTGTATCCCAGCTTCACTGACCTCTCTGTTGAAATGCACCAGGTTCCTCCTTGCCTCTGGGGCATCGCACTTGGTATTTCCTCCTCCTGTAATCTGTAATGCAGCTTGCTGGCTGATTACCCTTCTGGTTTCAGAGAAGTACTTCCTGACCACTCATGCAGAGTAGTTCCCTCTGCCCACCTGCTCCTAACACAGGCTTCCCTTTTTTATTTGCTTTAGGGATCTCCTTTTTTTTTTTTTTTTTTTTAAAGATTTTATTTATTTGTCAGAGAGAGAGGGAGAGAGAGCGAGCACAGGCAGACAGAGGCAGAGGGAGAAGCAGGCTCCCCGCCGAGCAAGGAGCCTGATGCGGAACTCGATCCCAGGACGCTGGGATCATGACCTGAGCCGAAGGCAGCTGCTTAACCAACTGAGCCACCCAGGCGTCCCTAGGGATCTCCTTTTTTGTGAATTGTGGACTTAATTCTATTTCTTAGTACGGCACACATTAACAAGGTTCCAAAAGCCAACACTGTACCAAAATGGGAGTGCAGAGAGAAGTGTCACTCCCCATGCCAGCACTTTGTCCTGTGCCCTGAATTAGTTTCTTATCATCCTTCTGGAAAAAACAGCAGCTTCATAATACCGTAATAA